CCTGGCATGCGGATATTCAAAGCCGTGGTCTTTCCACTGCTCTTTCCGTCCGATACCGAGTGAATTATCCTGTTGTAATGTCAAGTTTCCTCAAGATAAAAGATAACATTCGTGGTGGTTTTGGATACAGGATCAGAGTGATAAATTCTTCGCGAAGACACACGAGAGTCGCCAGTGACCAGATCGAGGATCGTATCACTCGAATATGATGAATTCCTGCTACTGTCATGCCTTGGAATCCAAACTCGTTAATCCGATTTACGGGCTACTGGTATATTCGAAATCTTGAATCTGCTACCACCGCAACACTGCGGTGTTGTGAGCCTTAAAAATGAACGCATAAATGACTTCATCTATCATTCAATCATCTACTTCGACTTTTCCCTGTCTGGAATGGAGATTAAGCACGAGATTGGCCTTTTGGGACAACCCTGTTTTGCAGAGCTTTATACTACTTAACACTGCTAAACAGTTGTCTTATGATGATAAATTTATCGTCGGTTAATTTTCGTTCGTGCGCTGGCATCGAGGTGCATTATCAGTAGCGTAAACAGATCGCATGTTAATTTCCAAGCTGACTAAAAGCGTTTAATCACTATCAGTTTTGCACGTTATGCTTTTGCTAAGGAGGCGTATCCTAGAATCTCTTCAGAGCTTCTCTCGATCCTTCTGAACACAGTAGGAACGATATTGAAGGGCGCGTATTCATCTTCTACGGGATCCACGGCATTCCGCGGATTTCACTGTGTCACTTTTTAAAATAGTTTCCCGGATTCTGTTCTGTTTCGGTCGTAGGACCTTTACTGTGAAACATCGGATTCCGAGAAGTATGTTTAATTGACCGCTGTTCTTCTGATTGTCGATGACGACAACGTAAAACGTTTCAAATCTTGAAAGCAGCAGCTCCGCCGTATATGCGTATTCGCCTCCGCTGCCTCACTTCGTGGGGATCAATAATCGGAAGCGTGTTTACTCTGAGTGCATACGATCGACATCGAACAAATCTTTGAAAATAGTCTTTCGCTGCTGTTGTGCTCGTTTCGGGCGCACATGGACGCCAGCTTTCGGAGCTGTCTGGGTTGGTGGCTTTCCTTGGCGCTAAATACAATGTTGCGGCTACCGAAACGGTTCTTTTCTACGGTGTGCTTCAGGTCATGATAGAATGTTTTCTACGACATATTTTCGAATAGAGGTTCCTTAGATGACGTCACCGTCATATCGCTTCGCAAACACCTTGTCGACCATAATGTCATCTAACGGACAAACGAGGCGTGTATCCGTAGACATAACTCGTTAAGAGAAATTTTTGGACAGACGACAGCATCGCTCAAGGTATGTGTCTTTTACAGGAAGCTGTAATTAACTGACGCGTCAATCGTCGACCCCTCTCGGCAGAGTGAAAATTTTGTGGACCATTTTGGTTGCCTTGAAGAGCATTGGTCAAGTATGGGGGTGTGATTCGGTTGTAGCGTCGTTTTTGTATTCTTTCTTATCAGTACATGCTGAAATTATACGGTAGCATTTGCATATTGCTTGAACTCTTATCACAGATAACTCCGACAACTTGTTTATCGAGAATTAACGAAAATTATGA